CCCATAGAACTGCTCCACTGGGTTTCCAAGACCGTCAATCTAACGACAGCAGATAACCTCATCTGTCTCCCATGGAATGGCTGGTGGATTTGAACTGCTGACTTTGTGGTTAAGCAGGCTGATACTTAACCCCCTGCACTCCCATGGTGCCTTAGCAACCCCATAGCATATGCTTAATAATCATTTCTTGATCAACTTAAATAGTGGAACAGTTAATGCAGATACCCATGAAAATAGCATAGATTTCATAGAAAGATAGGCATAAAATATGACTAATGACTGGTGAAATCAGAATTTCATAGCCTTCTCCCTCACCTATGAAGGCAGGCCCTTTAGCTAGTCACGTTGCCCCTCTCCCTCCAAGGCCTGCTTCATTTGGCTTCACGCCTGTATTCTGGCAGCGGCCACGTGCCTGCCTCCTCATTCTTCCCTCGCTGTGTGCTGCCCTTGTAGTGGTGCATCAGCTCCTCTACGCCAGATATTGGAGGCACAGCTTCCGCCTGGTGCTACCATCTCTTTCTTGGCCCCTAGTGAGTGTGCTGCTCCTGCTGACAGCCTAGGCAGTTGAGGCGCCCAACAGATTTGCCCCCTTTCTCCCTCCATTGTATCTCATCATGTTGGCATCTGTTTTTTGGGAAAGCCATATTTTCAGTTGTTTGTTGTAGTCCCCCTGTCTCTGTTGTGATGAACTCTTGGGCCTGGGCTGGGGACAGTCCTCAAGTAGACACCACACTGTGTTTGGGATCACTCTTCCTGGTAAGCCTTTGCTTGTTGGGGCAAACTTTTCTGCCTCACTTTAGTAAGGGTTATTCTCCTTAAATGTTTCTTAGCCCCTCACACACATAGATACTCTAACAAGTCCAGGTCACCAGGTGGGTGAATCTGAGTGATGGGGATGGTTAGGTTCTAGGCTGGACTCCCACTGTTTTTACCACATCTGAGGGGGCTTCAAAACGTTTGTGGAACTTTTTCATTATTTTTTAATTCCATTTTCCCATGAACTTTCGGAACCACCCTCTAACAACAGGTAGAACATATTTTAACTCAAGATAATCTCAAGCCAAGGCAGTGAGAGGTAACTCAGAGCATGACTGATTAAATAAAACAAAACTTACTTTGTCATTAAACATTTTTTTATATATCTAATCATTACAAAATTAGTTACTGATAAGTTGATCCTGATGAACCCTATGTGTGTCAGAATATGAGGGGGC